AGACACGATATCTAGAGTTTTTATAGCTCAACGTTTCATACATCTCTGGAAACACGATATCTAGAGTTTTATGGCTCAACGTTTCATACATCTCTGGAGACACGATATCTAGAGTGTTTGCATAGAGGAAGGATATAATCGCACCTCTGTAGTATTTTCTGTCTCTATAGGACACTCTTGTAAACATTTAAAGCCTACAGTAGTACACAATGGTTTAGGATAACAACTAGTAACAAGACAATAACTCAGTTCCGTTGTAACAATTGTTCTTTATGTAAATCGTAGCACATTTTTTCCTTAGAGTTTTCTTAAAGAAGATTATGTCACTCTACCTATTTTTGTTTTCTTATTCGGTTATTCTTATGTATTTCACGAAATACATTTTACGATCGATTACTGCCGGTATTTGCCGTGTGAAGCTAATGTAAGTAAAGTTCGTTTGAAGTTAAGCACAAAGCTACACAATGGGCTATCTGTACTCTGCCCAACACGGGTATCGAAACCCGGTTTCTAGCGTTGTAAGTCCGCAGACATACCGCTGCGCCACTGGGGGGGGGACTGTAAGTAAAGTAAAGTTTTATTATATTATATGTAAAGATTTAATAATATCACTCGTGCTCATTAATTGTAGCTCTATAAAACACGTTCTGCCTTAAGACCAGTTCTGTAATATAGTTGGAATAGCTTTGTCATTCTTCATAACGAGAATAATAAATAGATAACCTGATTTGTTTTGTTATATTCTTGATTTCAATATATCTGTCTTAGATATTGCCGAAATAATCTTACAAGATTTATGTATTTTGATTAATACACTATTATGACCATATTAATATTCCTACAGACATTCTTGTTACCATGTTAGTCTACCTACAGACACTGTTGATGCCATATTAGTCTACATATTGACACTATTAAGACTATATTAGTCTACCTATTGACACTATTATGACCATATTAGTCTACCTACAGACACTGTTGATATCACGTTAGTCGACCTATGGATACTGTAGATACATTATAAGTCTACCTACAGTCACTTTTAGTACTAACTAGACTACCTACATTTTCTGAACGTACGGTAGTAAAAACTGTGAACAGTTATACATACATATATGTGTCTTCATGACAAGAATTTAGTATCACTACTTCTAGATACATACTCGTATATTCATATATATATATTGATATATATTGAAGTATTATTCTTAGATACGGTAAGCATACCTATTCTCTTTTCACACACACAGAAAATAATAATAAACAACCAGATACAACCTGATCAACTATGTAGGTAGACTAACATGGCATCAACAGTGTCTGTTGGGATATTAATATAGTAACAACAGTATCTGTAGGTAGAATAATATGGTATCAATAGTGTCTGTAGATGTATTAATATGATAACAACAGTGTCTGTAGGTATATTAATATGATAACAACAGTATCTGTAGGTAGACTAACATGGTAACAAGAATGACTGTAGGAATATTAATATGGTCATAATAGTGTCTATAGGTAGACTAACATGGTAACAACAGTGTCCGTAGGTATATTAATATGGTAACATCAATGTATGTAGGTATATTAATATGGTAACATCAATGTATGTAGGTATATTAGTATGGTAACAACAGTGTCTGTAGATAGAATAACATGGTAACAACAGTGTCTCTAGGTAGACTATTGCGTTATCAACAGTGTCTGTAGGTATATTGATATGGTATCAACAGTGTTTGAAAGTAGACTAACATGGTATCAACAGTATCTGTAGTTAGTCTGACATGGTATTAAAAGTGTCTGTAGGTAGACTAACATGGTAACAACAGTGTCTGTAGGTAGACTAACATGACATCAACAGTGTCTGTAGGTAGACTAACATGGTATCAACAGTGTTTGTAGTTAGCCTGACATGGTACCAACAGTTTCTGTAAGAAGTCTAATATGGTGTTAAACGTGCATCTGTAACTCAACTAACATGGTATCAACAGTGCCTGTAGGTAGGCTAACATGGTATCAACAGTTTCTGTAGGTAGACTAACATGGTATCAACAGTGTCTGTAGATAGTCTAATATAGTGTCAAACGTGCATCTGTAACTAGACTAATATGGTATCAACAGTATCTGTAATTAGATTAACATGGTATCAACACTGATAGTAGGTGGGCTAATCGGTACATGATGTCAACAACATTTATTATAAATAGTAAGAGTAAACGTCAGCTAAAGTGAAACATTTGAATTAACCAAAGTATTCTTCAGGTTTCAAAGTCGATCGTTAGTTTGTTATTAGTCTGCGAATCCTACATTAATCTTTCTCTTATCTCTAAGGGAATGTTGGATAGCATTTTCGAAAATCCTTAAAACTAACGAAAGATAATAGCAGCTTCGCTGTCATGCTTGCACGAAAAACAACACCCTGCAAAAAGCGTTATGTTTGTTTGTTTTAAATTTCGCGCAAAGCTACACGAGGGCTATCTGCGCTAGCCGTTCCTAATTTAGCAGTGTAAGACTAGAGGGAAGGCAGCTAGTCATCACCACCCACCGCCAACTCTTGGGCTACTCTTTTACCAACGAATAGTGGGATTGACCGTCACATTATAACGCCCCCGCGGCTAAATAGGGGAGCATGTTTGGTGGGACTGAGATTCGAACCAGCGACCCGCAGACTGCTAGTCGAGCTCCTTAACCACCTGGCCATGCCGGGCCAAAGCGTTATGAATGACCTTATCTTCTGGTTCGAGTTACTGATGCATATGTTGTAGTAATTTTCTTGAAATTGAGTCACTTATTTATTAGGCCATTAATATGTACATATCGAGTGATATCCAAAATAGGTTATATAGAAAAAATTAATAGCCCCAAAGCATTATATTGCTTAATGATTAAGGTACAGACCAAATATCACGCCAAGTCAATGTATTATATTTTTATCCATCTTCCATACCGAGAACATCCTAATCTAGATGATTTAATATTTAGGTGATATAATACGCCCACAGATTAAGCTATAGATTCCGTATAGCACCGTAAAAAAAAAAGGTATTATCTATGCAAATGAAAATAGATATTGCTTTCATGGAATTTTCTATAAACTGAAATACAAATATAAAACTTTTGATATTGTTTCATTATATGTAAAAAACGTTTTGTGTATTATGTATAAGTTTAGGTATACGTGCACCCAATACCCGTCTTGAAGTTGAATACATCATGCATATATAGTTAAGAATTAAGTCTTTTATAAGTTCTTCATAGGGAATCACCTACTCATATCTAGTTCTAAAGTTACTGTTGCAGGTTGACTGGTTATGAGAAGATCGTGAACTGTTTTACTTCTTTATCGTCAACGCATGCCCTACTCATATCTAGTTCTAAAGTTACTGTTGCAGGTTGACTGGTTATGAGAAGATCGTGAACTGTTTTATTTCTTTATCGTCAACGCATGCCCTACTCATATCTAGTTCTAAAGTTACTGTTGGTGATTGATTAGTTATGAGAAGGTCGTGAACTGTTTTACTCCTTTATCGTCAACGCATGCCCTACTCATATCTAGTTCTAAAGTTACTGTTGCAGGTTGACTGGTTATGAGAAGATCGTGAACTGTTTTACTCCTTTATCGTCAACGCATGCCCTACTCATATCTAGTTCTAAAGTTACTGTTGCAGGGTGACTGGTTATGAGAAGATCGTGAACTGTTTTACTTTATCAATCAACGCATGTCCTACTCATATCTAGTTCTAAAGTTACTGTTGCAGGCTGACTAGTTATGAGAAGGTCGTGAACTGTTTTACCCCTTTATCGTCAACGCATGCCCTACTCATATCTAGTTCTAAAGTTACTGTTGCAGGGTGACTGGTTATGAGAAGATCGTGAACTGTTTTACTTTATCAATCAACGCATGTCCTACTCATATCTAGTTCTAAAGTTACTGTTGCAGGGTGACTGGTTATGAGAAGATCGTGAACTGTTTTACTTTATCAATCAACGCATGTCCTACTCATATCTAGTTCTAAAGTTACTGTTGCAGGGTGACTAGTTATGAGAAGATCGTGAACTGTTTTACTTTATCAATCAACGCATGTCCTACTCAT